GTGGAAGAAGTCAACACTGTTTTAATGGTCAATAATGTGGTGGCATAATAGTAATTAAAACAATATTAGTGGTCATTTGTATACAGAGGAGGGTAGTATCGTATTTTCAAATAGTTGCATGCCAGTTACGTGCTTTTGCTCAGATGCATTCATTTCTCTAGCAAGTGAATGAGCATTTTGTCGATGTGTAGTGGAGTGTTATGTCAGGAGAAGGGTCAACCGTGTTCTAAGCAATAGTAGCAAAGTTTGTATCGATTGTTGTGTTTGTAATTTTGTGCTTGATTTCAGTCTAGGGTTTAGTAGATTCTCACGAAGTGTGCATTATTGGGAGATGGATCATCTCGAAGTTCATACATGTTTTAAGGTTAATTGCTGGTAGAAATCTACAATGGAAAGCTCGCCGCATTTGAAAAATCCACGTACAGATGTGCAACAATGAATATTATGAATATGGATTTGGGCTTGAGATCTTGAAAGTTGGATTTTACGGTTGGACCTCTTTCATGCTTGAGCTTGAATTTGTCCAACCTTTTTTTTTTTGGTACAGGGACCTTCCGGTTTCCGGATCCACAGGGAAACCGACTAATCCTGAATTGAGTCGAGTAGGACCACAAGGGCGGCAAAGCTCTCCCTCAAGAGTTTTAACACTGCTGCATTCCCAGGGCTCGAACTCGAGACCACTGGTTAAGCTGGAAGAGACCCAAGCCAAATCATCCAAGCGCTCTTGGGTGAATTTGTCTAACATTAATTGGGGGGTCGAGTGACTTGACCCCGAATAAAATGATTTGAACTTGATTTGATTTGAGACAACTTCTTGGAGGACTTGCTTCTTCGATCTTTCTAGGAGACGGATTTGGACTTGAATAATGTTGACTCGAGGACTTGAGAGTTTTTTCCCGGATCAGACACTATGTTGCTTGAACTTCTCGATGAATGCCGCTTGAATGTCGTTTGAACGTCAGTGATATTTTGGAATGATTTGAGAGGAATAGATGTCATCTCTTTATTTAATGGAGAAGGACCGTCACCTATTTTTATTGGCATTTTTCTCCATTGAGCGCATTTAGGAGGTTAGGGGACTTGATTTCGAATTGAATGCCAACCTTCAACTTGAATGTCTTGGATCTTCAAGAACGTCTTTAAATTTTCAAAAGAGTTCTTGAGAGCCCTTGAATTTGAGACTTTGATTTATGAGTTGTGTTATGTGGCTTTGAGGATAACCTTATTTATAAGTGTAAGAGAGACAATCTTAGAAAAAAAGAAGACATCAATTTGGTTGGTCCTTCATGATTTGATATAATCTCTTTTCTTATCCTAAGATTTGTCTTGATCATAAGATTTGACTTAGTGGATAAAAAATATTTACTTGATTAATTAAAATTCTTATTTATCTTAGATTTATGTCCAAAAATAAATAAATCTTTCAATTAATAAAATAATAAAATTTAGATGTCCACAAATGCCCCTTGAGACTTGTTCACGGGCAAAATATCTTGGTAGTGAATAAGACTCAAAATTTTGAATTTCATTAAAACATGAAGATAGTTAATTCTTATCTAGGAGTTCTTCAACTTGAATTTGTAGATAGTTTAAACTCGTATCAAAGAGTTTTTTATTTGACTTGATTTGTAGATATTTTATACTCGTATGAAGGAGTTCTTGATTTGCAGACCTTTTATTCATGTGTCAAGGAGATCTTGATATGTAGACATTATATTCCCGTGTCAAGAAGATCTTGATATGTAGACCTTTTATGCTCGTGTCAGGAATTCTTGTAGATAGTTTACGCTCATATCAAAGAGCACTGTAGATAGTTTAAGCTCATATCAAGGAGAATTTTAAATTTGAGGATTTGGATTTTTTTTTTGTTTGTTTACCATACCGAGAAGCTTTATAGATAGTTTATGCTTATATCAAGGAGCATTTGAATTTGTAGATAGTTTAGGCTCACATCAAGAAGAACTTGAATTTTTGATAGTTTCGGCTCATAACAAGGAGCATTTGAACTGTAGATAGTTTAAGCTCATAACAAGGAGCATTATAATTTGTAGACAGGTAGGCTCATATCAAGGAGCACTTGAATTTGTAGGTATTTTAGGCTCATATCAAGGAGATTTGGATTTGATTTCATGAGTTC